CTGTGTCTAAGGTGTTTGGCTGCCGATTTTGTCAGTTTATTGGGGATATTCTGTTAATATTTGGTCGACTGCAAGTTCAGTTTCACAATAGTTACACGTTGGTTTCTATTCTTTTGCCATGAGGTATTCACGTKTAARATGAATRTGGCTCACGCGGAGTCTATTGAATATTACCCTTTCTTTTCTGTTTAGAAGAGGGTTAGGCTAGTCAAAGAGGCCATGACATGTTTTTATAATATTGTGAAGTATAAACATTTGTGAACTTCATTTTAAGAATATTATAAAATATTAAAATTATTATTGTGTTTGTATGAAAACTATAATATTTAATTACTATGTATACCTAAAGTTTCTTTATAGCATCATTATTTAGCCGTTAGCTTTCCAGTAGGTATATTGAAAAAAGTCCGTTGCTTAAGTTTTTCACGGTTGTAAACTTTCAACGACCGGTCGCGATAAAACATTTCACATCTTCACCATGATTGTGCGAATTCYTGCTGGAAACTTTTTTATAGGAAATGTTTTCGCTCGATTTCACTGGTTTCTGCGCCACGAGTCCAATCGTGATTTTTTTTATTTGTTGCTTCATAGAAAATTCTTAGATATTATAATTATTTTTTTTTAAATATCATCTAATACTTATATAATATATCTATTAAATTATCTAAATCAAAATTCAAAATCTTTTCTTCATTTACGTTGATATATTTTACTTGCATCTTTACGAATCAACTTTATTAATTTCGATTCTTTCCTTATATTATACATATGTAGCTTTTAATGAATAATTTTAATCAACACATGTTGTGGTTGTACGAATTATTTGTATTGACATAATATTATTTATAAATAAAAAAAGGTAGATATATTAGATTTTACAAAAATAAAAATTTGTATGACCTGTTTAATATCAATCAAAAACCAGTAAGTAAATTTCAATACCTTTTAAGTACTATTTGTTTTGAATTTAATTGAGATTGACGTATAAATTAACAAGACAGTAAATCATAAAAATATAATATCCTCTGATCTCGTATTTATAATAAAACATTGTGAAAAAAATACGGAACTTGTACCTGAAGTAAATCAATTCACAAGACCACAAATGTAAATGACCAGTAGGCTTTGTAAAACTCGGGGGAGTGTGGAT